CGTAGACACGCCCAGGGGGACCTAGGACCCTACTAAACACAGGGGGGTGGTTCACCCCCCCCCCACGATTTGTGGAGGACAAAACTGGAGGAAATATCAAATTTCTCTTCACTCATCTCAATCTTTACGCTGAACAAGTCTGACCATCACTCCAAACAAGTGGCTATTGCGCGCTGCCACGTTCACTGTCCACCTTCCATTGATTTCCTTAGAAAACCCATGAACCTCCATTGATCTCCTCTCCTTCAAGTGGGAAGCCACCAGAACCACCACCTGCCCCTTCCTCTTCCTCCCCCAGTCACCTGGCTTAACCGGCAGCAAACTAGCTTTACATTGGCCAGTCTTGACTAGGTTGACACGGTAGGAACCTAACTCTAAGTCACAGTAGACTCTTCCAGTCAAACTTGACTAGGATCTAAGAAATTAGTGTGTTGATTCACCAAAAGTCTACTTTAAAGTGACATGAACATTCTCCTTCTCTCTTTTTTTGCACGAGTGGAGGCGCTGTGTGTGCAGGTTGTGCACAAGTCACCTTAGTCGAGTGAATAGAGAGCTACCAGCCAGGTTGCGACCCAACAGAGAAAGGAAGAAACACAAACCAGCCCCCAAAAACACAAAACCCAACAAACACCCAAAAACCACCGGAAAGGGAGCAACCTGTAGCGTAACTCGAAGTGCCAAGAAGGCATGAAGAGAGGTGAAACAGGGGCAGTGAATTCAGCAAAGCACTCAGAAGTTCTTGTCCATCGACGAACTGGCAAACGAGTGAGCAAGAGCAGGCGCAGAAGTAAACATCAAACTTCTGCGGTTGATTTATTGCAAGGATCTTGCCTGGACAGGCTTTGCATCAGAGCACGAAAGAGTCCCATGACCGACATCAATGCGCGCTTACATGCATGGTCCACAAGATTTCATCTTGGACTCGTTTTAAGTCAGATAACCTGCTTGACGGCTGGCAGCCACGAGCCTCGTGCAAGCCAAAGAGTGACTACCTGGGAAGACCACAGTCCCCATGCTCGGAATGTCCAACATACCGATAGTGAAGACCGTGTGATGCCACTGGCGAGCTTTCAAAAAGAGGCCAAGGGAGTTGCATCTCCCGTACCTCCCCCCGAGGGGGAGGCATCAAAGGCAGCACGTCAAGCACTCCACTCCAGAAACGGCTCATCACCGAGAGCAAAGCAGGACATGCTGCATGGACGGCGAAAGAAGGCGGGGGAAAGGCAAAATCCTTTGAAGTGTGCTGCAAAAATGTCGCAATTGGAAATCTGACTACATCTTTCAAACGCGGCCAGGTATGATAAGGCCGATACATGCAGGGCCCCGTGAGCTACTCGAAAATAGGTGAGACAGAGTGAAACGCCGTTTTCCCAATTCTGTACACTGTACCCATCCAGAACCACTACGCGGGTAGCAGCCTGGGCACTGTCTAGCTACTCAGGCCAACGAAAGCGAAGAGCAAAACGAAATTGATTGGCACTCTTAGGACCAACACACGGGCGCTAGTCAAAGAGGCTAGCGATCAAGTGTTGACGTATATTTGTGGCCGTGTGTGGCAATTGGTCCTATTACGCTCCAGGTCCTAGTTATCAGCACTTTCTCGAAGGCACTCCTGGGTGTTTCTTTGGTGGGCAAATTGCTCATTTGGATACTCAGCGAGGATGGCCTCTGACGTAGGCAGGGCCAGCACACGGGCGCCAGCAGAAAGGCATGGCAGTGTAGTTCCGTGTACCCCTAGTTGAGGACTCCGAAAGAGTCATCGGCCCATTGATCCTCGTCCTTTGGATTGCGTGGTATCCATCGAACCCACTTTGGCGTATCAAGATTATCGCACCGAAGAAAAGCATTGGCACGAGAGTATGTGCCTCGCCAAGTCATTCGTTTGCCAGTTCTTTGGAATCGATTGAGCTGCGTGCATCCTGCAAAGGCCCGCCTCGCAATATAGAGTAGGGTGGGTGGCACGCTGACTTCCGTCAAGGAGACACACTTGAGGAAGGCTTCCTGCTGGATCTTTCGCAGTTTGTTTGGAAGCTTTAGGATTTGCAAGCGCTGACAATGTGCAAAGGCACAATTCATAATTTCTGTGATTTCTGTTCGCGAGAGATCCACCAGTTGCAGCTGCAGGCAGTGTTCACATGCGGCCGGTCCTATCCATGTAAAATCTGAAGGCAAGGTTAATGAGGTTAGGCCAGCTTCCAGGAAGCAACACTCCGGCAAGACCCGCATCACGCTGTTAGAGTTGTACTCCGACAGCTCTAGATCAAGTTGTCGCAATGCTGTACATTTGTGAAAGGCACGGGGCCTTAGCTCTGCCTGTGGAGCAAGCTGATTGGCGGTGTCGTTCCTGATTCCGACTTGCAACAATGAACAGCATTCTGCAAAGACCTGTGTCCCAAACTCCTTACAACCTGGGGCAAGGACCCTGCGCAGTGCATAGCAGCGGCAGAAGGCTCGCGTTTGCAGGCTGGTGACTGTGCTGGCTAGATGCACGATTTGGAGGTGTTGACAATGGTGCCACGAACACTCCCCTATGATACGATAGCCTGCATCCACCTGTATACGCCGGACCTTCGCCACATGCGAAAAGGCCTGCGGGAAAACTCTATCGATATAGTAGAACGGAACTCGCAGGGCTTTGGCTTCGCCTTGCATTTGTCCCTTATGTTCAGCTTCGACTAAACAAGGGCTCACGACGACAGTAAAGCAATTACAGTCTCGCAAGGTGTGCCAGATCGGATCGACCAGCTTCTGTTGCGAGTTGCAGCAGATAAAGCCCAACTCGCACCCGAAGGTGCTACTTTCACCTATTTCGGGAAGTTGCTCCAAAACTGCACTTTTGAATTCCTGGAGGCGGTCGAATTCTTGAAGTTCGATAGTCAGTTGGGCTTCCTCTCCCGCCAGCGTGGTCAAGATCAGATGGATGACCATTGACCTTTCCTCACTCCATTGCGAGCTAGACACTGAAATGTGATCAGTGAGCATGGCCGAACATCCACTGACCAGCACTGTGTCCCCGTCTTCGAGCCTAAAGGTTTTGCGGCAGGCCGCAGTCGTTCTTGTTTCACAATTCCTTGACTGCCGCTGCTTGTAGCTGTCACTATTTACCAGATTGGGGAAAGACAACTGCACGGGCAGCCATCTGGATGTTTTCTCCTAGCATTGCCGTGCTGTGTCTTCTTCTTAACACTCCCAATGTGCGTGTTTTTGGGTATGTTGACTACCCCGTACCGATAAATAGCAGATTCCGCTGGGGACGGTTAGTGCCTGACAACCTTCGAAGGCATTGGCTGCTACTTGTAGACGGCGTCTGTCGGCCTCGGCGCCGCGATAGGTGAGGCATACTAGTTTGCTACACCCTGCAAAAGCTCTGTGTCCAATGCTGTGAAGCTGCCGTGGAAGCGCTACTGTACACAGCAACATACAGGCTTCAAACGCCTCAGCGCGAATCTCGGTGAGGTGCTTTGGTAAGATTACTTGTGT